TCGACACAAATCATTTCATGCTCCTGGAAAATGAAAATTAACTCAGTATGAGTCAACGCATTCACATTTCGTATTGACTCATACAATAGTTCGTATCGATGCATAATGGTTTGCATTGTCTCATAACCTATTTTGGACATAATATGTGTCGACTCATAGTGTTTCGTATCGACTCATACTACTGTTTTTTGCCTCTAACATTGTTTTGCTGCACATATGAGTCAATTCTCAACACATGGTCAGTGAAAATGAAAAGAAAGCATATAGTTAGCTTCAAGGGTAATAATATTTAAATTTTATCTTCACAAATGGACCACTAATGATGCTTGTATGAAGAGTCCAAAGTTAAGAAAACTTTCCTTGAAACTGAAATTTGTGCTTTCAGTTTGAGTTGTTGTATTGTCTTGGAGAAGTAAAGTTGGGGGTGGCTGTTTTTGAGTTTGGAAAATAGTGATGTTACAAAAATTGTTCTTGAGTTTGAACAACTTCTATATGATGTATTTGGATTTTTTGGATGGTTTGTTCGGACAGAACTTGCAAGGTGTGAGAGGTTCAAAGACTTGGACTTCAAAGCTCGAGAGTGGAGGTTTTATGGACAGTTATGGCTTTTTGAGAGTATGAGATTTTGAGGGCTTATCTATACAACAAAAACTTCTGGCCCCTTTAGCTTGCAAATGGCCTCTCTATTTATAGAGGAGGTTTGAGAGAATGAGAGAGTTTGTTTTACAAGTTTTCTAAATTCTGGTTTAGTTGAGATGAAACAACCAAGTTATTATGAAAATTGGTGTTCCAATGCATGATACATGAATGGTCTGAAGTTTCTAGGAGCTTCTAGGCATGTTGCTTCTTGCTTTGACATTATGTGTGCATAAAAAACAATTGAGAGGCTCAAGGAGAGCTGACTTTGTATAAAGCATGCTTTATGTGAATGGAAATGGTGCCATTGTGCCATAAATGGAATGATGCAATGGACAATACTTGAATCACTTGGATAATGGTTCAATAAATTATGTAAACATATGATTATAGATATATTTGCAAGTCACAAGGCCTGCAAAGTAATATTATGCAGCACATCATGCAAATTGGATTATTTGTTCTTCAATAAATGACTTGCAATTCAAGAATAGATTCTCAACTTCAGGCCCTTGAATCTCCTAGATAAAGTCTGATAACTTCATGCTCTTGGATGTTTTGGAATGCTTGAAACATCCTCTACAACTTTCATTTTTTCCATTTTAACAAAATCATCTTGGAACTATGTGAAAAAATTCCAAGAAGTTAGGATAAAATCTTGACCAAAGTCTGTTGAAAATTTCTCTAAGTGTTAAATGAAAATGCCCTGACTTCATGAATTTATAACTCCAAATCCAAGCACTTCTAGGACTTGATGGACAAAGAAAAGTTGTATATATCATCAAGATATACAACTTTCATGTTGAAAGTTTTCTTTGAATCATCTTGCATCTTGGTGAAAGAATGGCATGAAAAAGATTGAAATTATAATGTATAAAAAACACTTAGAAAATTTTCTAAGCCTTGAAAAGATTGAATTTTCACATTGACTTTTGACCTTCTTGGTTTCTTGATGATCAAGCTTCATATTTTTGAATGTATTGATGAATTTTGATCTTTGAAATTTAATATTGATCAAAAAGTCAAAGTTTGACTTTTGGTGTATTTGTTGACTTTTCAACAGTTGACCAAATTTCAACTATCAATCCACTGATCTTGAGAAATGATTTAAGCCATGGAATTGGGTCAACATGTTATGTTTGAGTTTTTGAGAATATGCTTCAAGCCATTAGGTCCTGTATTAGGTCAAAAATTCAATGATCAGTCGTTCTTAGTTAAAACCCTAATTTATGGTCTTAGTGTTTCGGAGGCGATTTTGTCTGATCAATTCTTGAGAATCCTTGAGCATTGGAGATTCTTTGTGAGCAATATCTTGAAAAAGAGAGAGAAAATTTTGGGATACAACACTTACACAATATTTTTTTCCCTTTCTAGATAAAGTATAAGCAACAGGCGGTAGATATGTTCGTTTTCCTTTCTTCATGGGTCCTAATTCAGCTCTTATTCCCATCTCTATTAATTCCTTTCTTGCTTTAAGGCCATCCTTAGATATTCCTTGTATATTGAGTAACATACCAATAACACTTTCAAATACATTTTTTTAATATGCACAACATCAAGAAAATGTCTTACATATAACGACTTCCAATATGGAAATTAAAAAAAAATTGACCTCTTCTTCCACCCACGTTTGACAAGCCTATGTGCAAAAGGCTTGCCAAACTGAGTACTCATATCTTTCACCTTTTCAAAATTTTGGTCACCTGTCAATATAAGTGGAGCTCTATCATGGTCTGGATTTCCATTGAATGCCTTTCTCCACCCACAGTAATGATGATTAGAATTTAAGAATCTACGATGACCGAGAAATATATTATTTTGATAAGATTCCAATCGCTTCCAAACTGTGTTTTCTTCACAAATAAGACACACATTTTGATCGTTAATGTTGTACCCTGATAGATTTTCGTATGCTAGAAAATCATTAATTGTGCCAAACAACATCGCCCTCAAATTGAAAATTTCTTTCCTATATCCATCATAAACCTCCACACAGTTCTCCCACAAAATCATTAAATCTTCGATCAAAGCTGTCAAGTATACATCTATGTCATTCCCTGGATGTTTAGACCCAAAAACTAACATAAATAGCATCATGTACTTGTGCTTCATACATAGCCATGAAGGTAGGTTATAAATTATAATAATCACAGGACATGTAGTATGTGAGATGATTTATAGACCATGCCGATTTATTCCATTAGTAGTTAATGCCAAGCAAAGTTTTCTTGATTCTACTCCAAAATCTGGATAATCATTATCAATTTTCATCCAATGTGGTGAATCTCCCGGATGTTGAAACTTTCCATCAATAATTCTTTCATCTGCATGCCAAGTTAAGTGTTTTACATCTGTTTCACTATGGAACATGCGTCTAAATCTCAGAATTATAGGAAAATACCATAAGACTTTTGCTGAAGACAATTTTCTCTTATATCGAGAGACACCGAATTTAAGGCACTCATTCAATCATGCATATTCATTTCGAAACAAAATGCAATTGTTTGGACAATCATGAATCTTATCATAGCTCATGCCAATAGAGCACAACATATTTTTGACCTTGTAGGTTCGATTAGGAAGAACACTATCTTCCGGAACCATATATTTCATGAGGGATAATAACTCTCTAAAACTTTTATCCGACCATCAATTGTCCGCCTTTAAGTTGTCCAACATTAATACCGCAGACAATCTTGTGAATTTAGTGCAACCTTTATAAAATGGTTTATCTGTGTCTTACCAACCTCTCAAATATTTTGGAACAATCCTGAAGATCTTCTTCAAGTGCTTATACAATCTCTTCTACTCTATCACAATCATATGTATTTGTGCCATTGTTGTCTGAAGCATAGGTTGTACTATCCCCCGGTTCAACAGTCTTGTTACTTATCTCACCATGTAATATCTAACATGTATAACTTCGATCAATTCCATGCCTCAGTAAATGCGATTTCAACCCAACTACATCAACCCGACTCCCATAACAACAACCTAAGCAAGGACATTTCATTCGACTGGGGTCTTCAGTGTGTTCAAAAACAAACTTAACGAATATTGATATCCCATTCTCGTACTCTTTATACAATCGATTGGAAGACATCTATTTTTTATCCATGGTTTTACTACTAAGTAAGCTAAATAAAAACACTATAATTATTCACGCAATTATAGCAAAAGAACAACTAATTGATCAAGAAAAAATCGATTATGTTGAATTGATCAAGAAAAAGAGAGAGGGGCATTTGATAAAACTTAAAGGGATTTTTATGTGACTATTGAATCTTATCTTAATACATTATGATTTATGAGATCATTATATACTAAGCGATGCTTTTTCTATTGAATATAATTTAATTATTATAAACATATTAAAACTTACATGCACAAGATAAGTACACAAAGAAGCTTGGTCTATTTCGTATTTCTTTTCTATACAATAAATCTACAAGACAAACAAAACTATCACATTTAAAATGATGAACATCAGGTACTCTTAATCAATAAACCTTAAGAAATACACATCAAACATAAAAATGCATATACTTTATTCACAAACTCAAAAGTGCATATATTTTGTTCAATCAAAGTATCACAATCAAATAAAATTAACATGGCAAACACAAAAATGCATATATATATATATATATATATATATATATATATATATATATATATATATATATATATATATATATATATATATATATATATATATATATATATATATATATATATATATATATATATATATATATATATATATATATATATATATATATATATATATATATATATATACTTTGTGGATAAGTCATTTCTATGAGAAAAAAAGTCACAATTTTAATTTTATAAATTATATGAATAAGCAAGGTTTATTACAATATATCTCTTAGCAGTTTCCTGTCTTTATAAACAGGGCACTTGTTGATGTTTTTGAAAGTGATCATATAATAGTTTTTTTTTATTCTTTGAAGGAGGCAAGTTACCGTCTAAATCCAACCATACATGATAATTTTAGTAGTGGTTAAAGGGTTTATATTATAACCTAGCTTATGATGAGAACCATCCTTTCTATATAAATGACTATAATTTACATTCGAATACATAAAGAATTTCACATTTCTTAGCATGTTAATAATAGGTACTCCCAATAATGGTTTTTTATTTTATTTTTAATTCTGTTAAAAGAAATACAAAGTGTCTAAGTACAAAAATTGTAATGATGCCATCAGTGAATCACCTATTATTAAAAAGATGAACAAAGAAGTACTTTTATTTGAAAATAATTAAAACTATTTATTTCCAAAAACAAATACCACCTTTATTATTATTATTGTTCTAGAATATACAACAATATTTGTTTAAAGACACTTGTTATTCTTGCCAGGTCCACCATAGAAAAAGTGATAGCCCCAATCACGATTACGTTCTCCTTTTATATTATAACAATTTGCATTAGATACATAATACGTGGGTTCTGCAGACAAAGGAACCCAAGTGTTATCAGATTCTAGAACTCCAATATTTAAAAAATATGCAGCTTTCTTCCAACCCTCCTCAGGAAAGTGTCCACTTCCCATTTGGGTGGAAGAAGCTTGTGGGTAATGGTTATTTATTATTTCACCACCCCAATGAACTTCAGTTGCAGCATCCTTCAAGTGTGTGAATAAGGAGGATGGCCAGTAACCAACGAAATTTCCAGATCCATAATCAAGCCACCAATTTCCCGTTTTTACATCCTTCGCATAATAAATAAATCAAGGTGCGTAAAACACAAGGAAATTAAAACTCATTATTCAAATTGACTCAAAATACTCGAGTTATGTAGAAATTACCTTCCGGATGGATAAGGTAATGTCAAATTGATTTCCATTATATGTAGAAGTCGGAGAAATTGAACCTCCAAGTACAATTTTTTTGTTAGTTTGAACAAAGCCTGGGCAGGCTAAATTGTAGCAACCAGTATGTTGATAATTATCAGCCTGTAATGATAAATATCATAACTCTTTTCAATACATTTTTTTAGTACATAATACTCTTTTAAATAATAATTATTAAGATTAAATATGTTTTTGATCCTCCTAAATATATATGTCATATTTAATTTTTAGTCTTTTTTAAAATTTCTTTTAAAGAATTGTTTTCTTAAAAATTTAAATTTTAACATTTGGTCTTTTTCATGCTAAATTCTTTGTTAAAATTCGCTAATTCAGTCGCTAAATAAAAAACTGTTATTAAAATCGTCGTTAATTTTGTTGCTAAATTATAAAAAATTATTCTTAAGTTGCGAGATGGACCAAAAATTACAATTAAAATTTTTAAGAGATCCGAAAGAAATTTTTAGAAGGACTAAAAGTAAATATGATATATTTAAGAGGAGAAAAAAATATATTTAACCCTTATTATTATAAGAAAAAAATTAAAAGTATAAATTTATTAAACAACTATTGTATTTAAATTATTATATATATCAAATATATTAGTTGTATGCTAAATTTAAATACTAATATAGAGAATAATATACTTTTCCGCCTTCTTTACTCTCACCATTTACTTACCGTCCAATAAATAAATAATCTCGGGCGGTTGTCTTTGTAGAGATTCTGAAATACCTGTATAAAATGTAATTGAACTTAAATGGAATAAGAAGTTACTAGTTTATATGTAACTGATTCTAATCTACACATTATGTTAAGGAAACCAAAAAGAAAACAAATCAATGTAAAAACACTTAAATAACCAGAAACACAAACAACAAATAACAACAATTATGTGAAAATTGAATCCAATAACAACCCATATGGGAAAGGCAATAAATCAGATCGTTGCTTAACAAAAAAGACATTGTGCGGAATCATGTTTTACAGGTTTAGTGATCAAAGAAGATCTCAACTTTTGATATGTTTTTGATGATAACAAACAACTAACAATGATGACAACTAAACAACTTACGTACAAGCGAAGCAAACAGTTAAAGATGTAATTAGACTAAGATATGGTTTGATGAGTTTTGATTCTCGGATGATCGAAAGCTAAATAGAATATAACTCAAGTCTATTCTCAATTCATCTTTACATGCCTTTTTCATTTTTGAAGGAAAGTTTAATCACTCCAAACATATTTTTGTTTTTTTTTACCATCTCCCTGAAAAAGATTGTGTCAACTACGTCCTATTGTTGTCACACCTAAGACCAAAGCATATACTAGGATATCGAAGTCAATGAAATTTTAACTTTAAACATAGTCTTTAGATATGTCCAAAAGCTATTTTAGAATTATCAAAATTATATATACCTGCCAACCAGCTTCAACGGTGTTGCGGTCTTTTCCAGCTGTACCAGACATTACCCATATTTGAGACAAGCTGAAATCATTTGAACTTTCTACATGTGGTGTCCACACATTTATGCTAGCCCTTGCTCCATAAATCTTTCCCCACTGCATTTGAGCATTTGCCCACTGCAGTAATAACAAATACCAATTTTAATCAAAAGACATACTAAAACTTCTAGGTGCATGATGAATCTTCCTGGCAGACTTCAAATATCATGCTTTTAAATTATGGTTTGGGTTCCATGCAATTGCGATGCAATTTACTGCTGTTTCAAGGTCAATTTTAATCGGGACAAACTTGAGATACATTATTAAAATGACAAATTTTATTGCATCGGAAGAAAATTGTGAGTCGGGGTTTTGAAGTTATAATTTTTAATTAAACAAATGAACAAACATGGACAAAATTATCTAATGCAATTCCTAATGTGGTAGCACACATGATTTTAAAACACAAAGTACTTGCAACATGTAATATTGCACCCGCAATTGTAGTTTGCGAAACTAAATTTAAAATCACAACACAAACAACTATGGATAATCGGGATTGAGAACTCTTAGTTCTCCTATCAATATATATTTTGCTTAGGAAAAAAACAACTATAGATCCAATGTGCAAACACAGGCATTTTATAGCACAAGCACATGCCTTTACCACCTACATGCCCTAACCACCTACAAGTATTATAGCACGAGCACAAGCATTTTAAATGATTGAACGAATGAGGGTTCAAAACCATAATTAACCATAAAAATAAAGAAATTATTAGTAAAAAATTGTGTTCATGCGAATGCATACTAGATGTTTTGTGTTGTCGGTGGCTTTATTTCCAAATCCACTAATACACTTTGATGTTAACCTGTCTTGTTCTGTTATTCGTCTAATTGGTATGGTTCCATGGGGACATGATTCACCAGATAAACTCCACATTTGAAAGTTTTCACTCAAATTACCCATTTGATTATGCCCTCTTGGTAATTTTGGAGGATCCTGTAAATAAAAGAATGCTTTAAAAATTTCAAATTATATATTTGTAACAGCTTCAAAAACTAATTCAAAATTGTCATAATTAAATAAAATACCAATGGTTTTTGTCCTTTTAATAGAGGATGATCAAAAGCTGGTTGTTTATGTGTCAAAACACAATCTATTATATCACCATCAGGACTCTGTAAAAATGAAAGCAAAATACACACACAAACATATAAGTGAAGAATTAAAATTTCTTTATAAATATAAATAAATTAGAATATACAAAAATTTTAAAATTTAATTTTACTTACTTGAATGGTCTTAAGTGTAGACTTGTTGATTTGGTTTAGACGGGTAGCTATAATCTTCTTCAATTTGTGAAATTCTTCTCCTGATCGAAAAGTTTGATTGACTAATTGACAGTTTGTTTCTAAAGAATTAACAGTACAACACAAAGAAACAACGACAAGAAAATGAAGGAGTAGGGAGATGATTGGAGAGCTAAAATCCATGTTTATGTTTTTTTGTTAGTCCATACATACAAATATATATATATATATATATATATATATATATATATATATATATATATATATATATATATATATATTCTAAAGTATTTCAATTTAGATATTTTTATTTGAAGCTATTTTTCAATAAAATGTACTATTTTTTATACTAAATATATGTAATCTATAGAAATTATATTTTTAAAATCGTTAAAATAAAGGGATCTTAAATATAATATTAAAAGGAATTTAATGGCAGTGCACTATTAATGTAAAAATAATACACAGTAAGTTAATCGGAATATTTTAAAATGTCAAATCATACGAATAATTTAAAATTTACATGTTGACTTGGGAGATATATAATTATCATTTATTGATGGTGTAAAAATAATTTACATGCACTATCCTTTTTTTTTTCTTTTAAAATAGTAAAAAAGTATTATCTGATTGTAGTTCAATACAACGTATCATACAATACTTTATTTAACTACTTATATTATGGTTAAATAATTCTTTCTTTTGACTAATTATATTATATTTTTCAAAAATTTGTACTAAATTTTTTTATTATATATATATATATATATATATATATATATATATATATATATATATATATATATATATATATATATATATATATATATATATATATATATATATATATATATATATATATATATATATATATATATATATATATATATATATATATATATATATATAAAGTAGAGATTCTAAAATAAAAGATAAGAAGATTAAATACTAACCATTGAATTTAATAAAATTAAACATATATTCCATTAAGGAAAATGTATCTCATGCCTAATAATTTGAATAATATTTTTTTCCAATTAATATTCTGTACAGTGATGCAACAAACATATTTTAGATTGTGATGAAACAAACATCATTTAGATTTATACTTACATAGGTATTTACATTTTCTCGTATTCCATTCAAAACTAATCAATGAAACTCCGACTTTTGAAATTATTTATTTTTACAAAATAATGTATCCCCTTAGTTGAAAAGACCAACTGGGGTAAATATATGCCTTTCACCTTAAATACCTCTACCAAAAATTCATTGTTTAACCACGGTTAAAAAACTATGGTTAAGGTTTTTAGTTTGCTGCAATTCAACCGTAGTAAAATTAATAATTATAAAATTAAAAATAAAAGTTTCATAACCACGATTATCTACATGTTTAACAGGCTGTGGTTAAATTAATTATTTTGCAATAGTTTAACCGTGACTAAATTAATACTACTAAAATTTAATAAGCACTTGTAATTTCATGGCGACATTTGTTTTGATCGTAAATAGAAGAAACAAAATTTGCACGGGTGTTATCGTGGTCAACAAAAGCGGGATATTTCCATTCCTCAAAACTCTCGCGTTTCGTATTCCTTCTTTCCCTCATTTATTTTCATTTTCTTATTTCTCTTTCGCGCTCTCGGTTGTCATATCCTAAATTTGTCCTACCTTTTACTTTTGTCTGGTTAGACATCACATTTCATCTACATCATCTTCACTAGTTCATTTGCATATCATGCATTTCATTGAATAAAGACACCTGAGGTCCAAGAGTTCATTGGTTGTGCAATATTAAAGTTTCACAGTGTTTTCAGGAAATTAGGATTTTTGCTTCAAGGTCACATTGAGCTTTATCTCCTTCTATAAATCTATTGCTTATCAAGAGGTTTAAGGGGTGAGACCAAGGAATTCTTCTCATATGGATTAAAATTTTATTTGAGGAGTTTCTTGAGGGACTAAATTTTGAACTAAGATGACATCTATCATTTTCAAAGTTGTTTGAATTTGTCATGAAGATTCGAAATGAAAGAGAAAGAAAATTTGGATTTGGATTGCAAATTGGAAATAATGGAAATTGGTATTCCATACAATGTCTTTGGTTCAAAAGTCACCAATTCCTTACATCACAAGTTACTATATTCAAGATTCAAGTAACTATTGATTATCTTGTAATTATTTTTGGATTCATGTCATGACCACTTAAAATCATACAAAGGAATTTCTCATTACAAGTCCAAACTGTCCAAATATAACATGCCAAAAATGTTGTCCAAACTATCAAGCCTTACACAAAAACAGTCCAAGCATAACAGTCAAATAACCTACAAAGACAGTCTGCAAAAACTGTCAAAACTACTGCAAACAAATGCCAAACATTACACAAAATAGAAATCACCAAATCTGCAATAAAAAAAGTAGTGAAACAATATGTCAAAATTGTTTAAAACTTCACCAACCTTTCCCCCAATTTCTACTTCTTATCTGATATATACAATATCAATATTGAGAGAAAACATGGTGAAAAAAAGGGGAGAAAACACTGTAAAACCAGAAGAGAAAAAAACAGTAGCAACCATGAAACTGTTTTGAGCCATAAAACTATTTTGATATATAAGATAACAACAACAAAAAAAAACCAGCAACAACAAAAAGGAAAACAGAAACAGAAAAAACCTTCAACCTATTGTACAACCTTGCAAGTTTCCCCCTAAACAAACTATCTAAACACTTCATATAGAAGTTGTTCAAAAAATAGTTTCTGTGATACCATTCTCATCACCTTCCAAACACAAACAAAAAAAACAGTATTGTACAATTTGACTTGGTTGGAGTGATTCAAAAGCTCTCAATACAAAGTAAGGATTGAAGCAACTTCCTGGAGGTTCACTAAGCCATTCTGATCATGACAACATCTTGAAAGGTGTTCAAACTTAAAACAAAAATTTTAGTTTCAAGGTAAATTTTCTTGACCTTGAGCTCTTCATACAAGCATCATTAGTGGTTTGTTTGTGAAGATAAAATATAGATATCATACCTTTGAAGCTAACCATATGCTTGCTTTTCATTTTTATCAGTCATATATTGAGAACTGACTTTTACATGTAACAGAATAATGTTAGAAATAAAAAACAGCAGTATGAATCGACACATATCTCTATGAGTCGACACATATCAGATACAAAATAGGTTATGAGTCGATATAAAACACACATGTATCGATGCAAAACAAATATGAGTCGATACAAACTATGATGTGTCGAATTATACTGAGTTGGTTTTGACTTCCAGGGGAAAGAAATGAGTATGAGTTGACACAAAACACGCATGTGTCGATCCAAAACAGATATGATTCGATACAAATTATTATGTGTCGACTCATACTGAGTTGGTTTTGACTTCAAGGGGCAGGAAATGAGTATGAATCGACACAAAACGCGCATGTGTCGATACAAAACAGAAATGAGTCGATACAAACCCTTATGTGTCGACTCATACTGTGTTGTTTTTGACTTCCAGGAGCAAGGAATGATATGTATTGATAAATAAGTGTATGCGTCAACACATAAGAGTTTTCGTATCAATGCATAAGTGCATGTGTCAATACATAAATTTTTTAAAAACAATTTTTTCTTTTTTATTTATCTTTACATTCTTGTATATTATTTATTCATTCAATATGGTTGTAATAGTAATTAGATTTTAATCGCTTTCATCCCCATTCATAAACTTGTACCCCCATCCCCGTATAATTGTAACAACTTAGAGTTTATTTTTTTTGTATGTTTTAATTGTTGCTTAATTATGCACATGTCATCCAATTAGAGCATATGGCCTCTTCTTGGGCTCATCATTAATGAGCATGTATCCACTTACAAATGCACACTTGCACATATTTCATAGTTTGGTCTTGGGCTTTTCTACAGTGACAACTATTCGATCGATTGTTTCAATTGGTCATTTAGAATACTAGTGCTACGCTAGTCGCACTTTCTAGGAGCATACATATGGCCACCTTGTATGGGATTTTGATTTCATCTTATACACTGAAGCAACTTCTCTCCCCTTAGTTTTCATACAAAGCATCTTCTTAAAGGGTCTCATAGTTGAGTTTGGGCATGACCATTCTCACGAGGTTATTCAAGTCTTTCCCTTGGTTAACCATAACACGACTCAACCGCTTTGGTCCATACACCAAGTGTTTCCATGCACAAAGGGTCTCATGGTTGAGGGTAGGAGCAGCTATTCTCACAAGATTAATCAAGTGCGCCCCTTGGTTAATCATAACCCGATTCAATTCACATACACCAAGCAATCCATTCACGCCTTTCATAATACTACTCATTTTGTTATCACTTTTGCCATGATTACCAAACATGATCACTCTTCATAAAAATTGTCTCCTTTTATTTTGTGCTTATAACATGCTCTCTTAGGATGATAGTTTCCTCTTCTTTAAGATGCAAACAAATTAGACCTTATATTAGAACCCATGCATGACAACATTAGGGTAGACTTTCCCCTTTGACTTTTCTTTTGTAATTAAGATTAAAACTTATAATTCACAAATCAAAAATCCAAAAACATTTAATCATTACTCGAATTCATTCTAAAACTCGTAAAACACTCAACCAATTAAAACTCCCCCCAAAGGACATGTTATCTCCGTTTTACCGCGATACAGGCCGTGCCTATTGCTAGAATGCGTGCGTTAATGTTGCCCACTAAAAAACACCAACAAACCAACATTTTCTAGAGGAACTATGGTGTTATGATTCCTTCACTGGATATGTAGGCAAAGGGTGGCGAGACCTTCATGAACGCACTAATAAAAAATCATTTCTTTCCCCTTAGCAGGTATAGTCATATTTAAACACACCCTTTGAATCAAATAAACAAAATGGATCACATTGAGTACAACGAATGTGAGGGGTGGTAATAACTTCCTCTCACATAACCGACTTCCTTACCCTTTATCTTGGTCACAAGACCATCTTATCCATCTTCCTGTGTTTTTCTCGATATTTCACCTTCGTTCGGGATAAATAAAGTTTGGTGGCGGCTCCGTGTTTTCTGGAGACAGCTTCAGCTGGAGACTCTACTGGGGAATATTTCTTTTGTGATTCTATCCTAGTTTTGGTTTATTTGTCTCTTTAGCTGTTTATTTATTTGCTTTATTTTCT